AATGTAGATATTACTTTTTCTCCGATAATCTCCGTCACGTTGTTTCCATAGCAACAACAACTTCCTGTCAACAGCGCTAACTCTCCTTCAAAATAAAAGCATGACCATACAAAATAGGACCGGGCCGAATATTCGCTGCTGATTACTACCGAATATCCGGAGCCCGAAAAATGGTATTCGGGACAGCCCTAATGCAGTCTAATGTCAAATAATAGAGATAAGGTGATCAAAATAAATGATTTCGCAACAGCCTCCTCCGTTGGAAGGAAAATAATTTGGCCCAATGTTGGGTCGATGGTAAGTTCCAAAGTCCATTTTTTAAAGCCAATTTTAAAAACACAACTTTAATGATTGAACACTCTACTGTCTTTCAACCACACGTATGTGCATATTTACACACATAGTTGATATTCCACTGAATAAATGCAACTATAAGACTATGGCACACAAAAAAGAGGCTTGCCGTGGGCACAGAGCACAAAACACCTGGCCATGGTCTAATTTTAGGAGGGTCATAATTCCCCCGGCACAGATCTGGCAACATGCTGTTTCTGTTTACCATTTTACCAACATGAACATGACCATGAACTAGTACGGCCCTTTAGTTTTTATGATGTTAAAGCACAGAATGATACACGGCCCTGCAAAGAAGTCTGACTAGTTGGGCCCAATGGGAAATCGAGGCTACATCTGGCCTTAACAAATACACCTGTGCTTTTGGAGTCTTATGCATTATGCAAGAGAACATTTTAGAAATAGATAGGGGAGAAAATAGGACAAAGACCAGTCCAAAAAACACCCAAAACGCTGCAGCAGAGGGCACATGATGGTAAGAAGTCACCGTGAAAATGGTCTCAATGCAAAGACACATTAAATGAAATGCATGAAATTACCGTTTTTATATACTCAGACCACATCAGCCATAAAAAATGCAAATGTTTTCAGAATGGCTGGCAAAGGCTTCACAAATGGAGAGGTTCTCACTTTTTACTCTTTGATTTCACTATCAACTCAGTGACCTTGTAATCTTAAAAACTATTTAAGGGAAATTTAAAGTAAAGCACAGTTTGTCTTTATCAAACCAAGTGTTTCTAGGATAAAAAGAACGCTATAAATGTCTTCTAATAATAAACCATTCCTGTGAAAAAGGGTGTCCTTTGCCAGGAACAACTAAGTCGCATTTGAATAGCACTTTAATAGTTAATTGGCTAAAAGAAACAACCAGAATGTATTCATTTTTCTTCCAATGCGTAGTTCGAGAATCTGATCTGATAATGAATTGCATGCTGGAGGAAAAGCTATCTTTATCTCTTTCTATTCACTGCAAGGAGGTCAAAGGTCAGGGTCTATTCAGACAAACACAGATACGTGTTGCTCAAAAATGTTGTCAACAAAAAAAGTTGCCGTCAAACAATTCCCCCATTTATAGAAACTGGATAATGTAAGTTAACCCCAGCTCAATGGGACGGAACAGAGACCCTGGTCTGATCACTGATTTCAGATCCTGTTTCAAGTTTGATGCGAAGCAGAGCTGAAACTGAATCATCACATCTGCTGCTGAGGATTTCTTTCTTTTTTTTTTAAACCCGGGGCTGCTTCAGCCTCGCCATATCGATGTAACCTTACACGGGTGTGCAAGAGGATCAATGTCTGTGTGAAACTGCTGCAGTGTACAAAAAAGGAGGCCAAATGTGAAGGAAGAGCACAAGACTCGCCATCTATCAGTCTCAGAGGACGATGTATACAGAAACCTAAACAGCCATTTCCCCCCAGATTACGGGCAAAACATGACTTACACACGGGTATGACCTCTGAGCTGCATTTAGATCATGAAGAGGAGACACAGGCCAGAGTCTTGTTGCTTCAACTTAGACTAATTATACTCATTACATCATTAGGAAAAGGGTCAAACGTCATATTGCTGCTTAAAACCATATAAAATAAATTACAGATATTGCTGGCTTTTAGAGAACACAATAATTCACTTTGTTAGCATGACATGGGTTCTTTTTTGATTCACGTAAGACACCCTTCAATCAAGGCTTAAATAAACACAATCTTTAAAATCGCAATTTCTCCTAGCTCAGTCCCATAGAATCTAACAGGATCTAAACTGCCATAACTCCTGAGGGAGCACAGTAAATATTTACCTATTTGCAGTTTAAGCCCACGTGAGATCTAAGGCAGAGGTCGCATTTCAAACAGATGACCCGGGTTCAACATCCGCCTGTTGCACTGTGGCTTTATCAGTTAGAAGGAATATATATATTTTTTTCTAGTTTCAGCAGGAGTTTCAAAACTGAGCCCAAAGTAGCAAAACTCACACATGAAACCCGTTTACTATCCTGTCACATCGACACATTGGCAGACAACCTTGACCCGCCATGTGTTACGGCAGCATTTACACATGCCAGCGTTGATCAAAACACTCGGCAGCTGCTGAACGCAACATTAAACCAGGTCACATTTCACATCTATGCCTTTTCTGTGTGGAAACAGACACCCTCCATTCCAAAAGCCCTGTCTGGTTTTAAGGCTTAATTAAGACACTTTGAGTATGAATAAATATCCAGAAACTCCATGTATCGCGTAACACTTATTAACAATGACATGTCTTATTGATTCATAATTACATAAGTAGGTAAGTGTTAAGGTATGCCTCAGAAAGAAATTGACATTAGCTGGGCAGTTTCTTAAAACTATTCACGGTTGCAAGCAACAATTAATTGACTATTGATTAATCCGCCACATGCCTGGTCAATAAACTAATTGTTTTCTCTGTAAAATGTCAGGAAATAGTCAAAAGATAACAAGTCCACAGGGCATGGTGATACTCACGTATTGCTTGTTTTGTGCAAACAGAAAATATATTTAATTAACTGTAACATAACATGACTTAAAACAGGAAATCTTTGTGTCCAAGAGGCCGAGACAACAGCTAATCGATCACAATTTTTGCAAATTAATTTGACAATAAACTAATTGATTAAGCATGCTTGCTTTTGTCTGTTTCATAACATTTTAAACTGGAGGATAAAGAACTTACTCCTTGCTGTTAAGGACCAGTATAGTGTCTTACTCCCTGTACAACATAGCATTACATAACCTCATAAAAAGACAGTGTCACTTGAGTTATTAGTTGCCAAACAGCGACAGCTTCTACAAACAGGGTTTTCGGCGTCTTTGAATAAAAATCTCAATGTTATCTTGAATATTTTGGCTCCTCATCAAATGAAGCACTGTGGGCTGTGGGCTGAGAGCTGAGAGCCCTTCCCTTATCGCAGGTTTTCTTGGTGGCGTCTTGAGCTTTTCCAATTCAACTTGGATTTCATAGAGGATTATTATACCACCTCAAATAGGAACCATTCATTTCCCCACTTCAGACAGTAATGAGCGAGCGGAATAATCATCTGCTGCACTGTGCAATAAAGACAGCACCTGGGCTTACACTTCAACCAACCCTAACTATTACCGTATTTGAGAAGCCTTTTAATTTCTCCTCAAAGACACCCCTGGGCTCGCTGTAAAAGGACAACTCCACTGCGACTTCAGATTTTTATTTTACCTTTATAAGCCTTAATTGGAACTACTTTTACACACTGGATATTTTATAAGCAAGGTAGATCATTTCCAAGCAGCACAGAAATACAGATTTAAGTTTCATAAGCACATAACGGACAGTACAATGTTTTCCTTATCTGTTTAACGGTCTCCTATTATGCTATTTTTAGGCATGTATTATGGATCTCAGATATATAAAAAAACATATCTGTGAGTCCCCTGACACACCGGGGACACATATGTATGTATAAAAGACATAAAAAAGTGCATTTTGCATGATAGGTCCCCTTTAATAATAATGCACTTTTCCAGTAATCTAATTTCTGTTTATACACAAGAATAAGAATGCTGCCTCCAGGTCAAATGTTGTTTTTCTCAGACAAATGAATCTCTCAACTCATGCAATCTGTGGTTGCGTTAGAATCTGCCTCCTGTCAATCATCACCTAGTCAACAGATGGAGCATAGTGAAATCATTATTCACCTTTTTAGCAAGTAATGAAGTAAACATCACATTCATGTATTGTGACACTGACCCATTACAGGACCACTGCCTGGTTATTCACATCACCTTGAGGATAGATTGTCTTATTTCTGGTAGAACAGGGCAGCAAAAATCAACTGCTGCCCTCTTGTATTTCTAACATAATTACTTCTAATATCCTTTGGCATAGAGTAACAGAAAAAAATGCCATATTTGTCTGTGCTGTGCACAAAAAACAGCCCTCCACGGATGACCCTTTGCAGCTTATTATCACCTCACTGACATTTATTATGCATCCACCCCTGGGAAATGGGGACGCATAAAGAATGTTCTCCAACATGAAGGGTGTGTTGTATAAAATTAAAAGGTTAAACCCACCTACACCTGGATTACCTACCAACCAAAATGTCCATCACCTTTTGAGCAGATATATTTTTAGCAGCTATGACAAAATCAAAGATAAAAAGCTTATTAAGTGGCTATGAATGCAGAGTTGCTACTGTTATTTTTTATCATATAGGTTGTAGACCACCCACCTTAGGTTTTAACCAGTTTTTATTTTCACTCATCTTTATTCATCTGATGTTAGAATTGACTAATGTTATTAATTGCACATCTGTTTATACTGTAACTTGTAAAATAACAGAGAGGATAGAGTAGTTATGTAATGGAATTTAGCTTAAAACCCAATTCGTACTGGTATGTCCCATGAGAGGCCCCTCAAGGACCAATTGAGGTCCCCATGCCCCAGCTTGGGCTCACTACTGATATTTTAAACACATGTACAATGTATAGACACACATGGAGGATGCATAATAACTCTGAGAGGCAGATTTCCCCCTATGCACTGCATTCTCCACAGATAAAAACAAGCATTGCAACTCTGCAGAGGGAACAATATACTGAGTTCTCAACAGCTGACAATAAACCATGCATTACCCCCCCTCCACACCCACCTGAAGAGCAGGAGAAGAGGAAAACGGCGAAGGCCAGTTTGGTGGCGTCTCCCATTTTCCATCCGAATCTGATCCTCTCACTAGAAAGAGAATTAAAAAAAAGCAAAAACAAAAAAAAAAGCCCAAAAATCTCAAATTCAAGAGTCAAATTAAATGTCTTGATGCTCCACAGAGCTCTGTCTGTGCAAAAAGGACATCTTCAAAATGTCAATATCGAAGCTAAATCCACAAATCCCAGGCAATGCAAGCCTTACCAGTCCAAAAGAAGAAGAAGGGAGGAAGAGGAGGGGTGAAGAAGAAGCGGAGGGGATGGTTGGAGGTATTTCCAGGTTTAGAGACAAGCAGCGGAGGCTGTCTTGTTGGCATTCAAGCCGGGGTTGTCATATACTTGTGTGTGCAGCATTGTTATGAAGAGACGTGTTGTTGTTGTTGTTGTTGTGTTATTCTCACAGCAGCGGAGCAGAGAGCCAAGCCACAGCCGGGCAGGGCTAACATCCATCGGATTGGAAATCAAGCGCACTTCGCTCTCCGATCAAACTTCTCCTCGACACCCTCGATCACATAGCTTTAAAACGATGTTGAAATAATCATTTAGATTCTCCTACCGCGGCAACGGGAGGCTGAAAACGTGTATTTTGTTGTTATATTCCGTGTGTAAACCTCCGTTTCTGCCGATAGTGGCGGGGCAGCTCCGTCCGCTCCAACAGGGAAACAACCTAGGCTCCCTCCGCCGTGTTAGCCCTCTCCAAAGTGGGCCAAACAACCTTCTCCCGTCGAAATGACTTGAATGAACAAGTGGAAACACTATCATATGTTAGCAATAACCCCTAAAGCTGCCGCTAATCCGTGTAGCTAATGCAGCTATCGAGTTTAGGACGAGCTGCTTTTCCCAAGTCCGTCTCCTCCTCGCCTCCTCTGGTCGGGACAATTTCAAGATGGCGTCACTGACCAATGTCAAGTCAACAAAACTCATGTATGAAGCTTCCGGTAGAGTATTTCAAAGTAAAATGTCTCAATGGAATGTGAAATTAGATTAGATATACTTGATTGATTCCAAGTTGTTTTGTTAAAAGCAGCATGTTAACAAGGCATGCACACAAATTACCCTTAAAAGCAAATATAGATTAATTATGAATGAGATGTAGGGCATATTACAAGTGCATTGTTTTATTTATTTACTTTCAGCGTACAACAAATACTGTATATATAAAGGACAACAACGCTGTTAGCAAGTAACAACATTAGCAAACAGTTATGGAGAGTGGAGATTTCTAATTGTAAGACATTAAAACAATTACTTTCACTAAATGATATAGCGACTCAAAATTAAATATTATGACAAGCCAACTCCCAGACCCAGACTACTAGAGCTTCGTACGGAGGGATTCTGACGATGCTAGCTGGTAGTGCAAAACTTCAGCAGCTAGTTGCTAGCTAAATATATATTGACTCGAATGTTGTGGAAGGCTGGTGGGATATTCTACGACGTGATTATTGACCATATCACCACTATGCAAGACAGGAGAATGGCCTTCCTCTACTATTAGGACGAGTGAAATACACACCCCCTTTTCTCTGTGACACTTCTGTTTACTGAGCTGCCCGTTAACAGCTAACGGGCAGTGTGTAGTTTCAGGAGAGAAAAAAACATGAGTTTCTTATTTGCACTCATAACATGTTGCAGTTTAGTATTGCCAATTATTACACATTTGTTTATCATAATTTTGTAGCCGAAAATGTTCCATTTCCGGTATGAGCTTGACTAATTTCAAACTACTTGACGAATCTGTTTTAGGAGCTATGGATTGTTTTTATTCTGGAAGGCGGCTCGTTTTGCACTAAGGCGTGTGCTGTTGCAAGAAGAGGGGCGGTCATCTTTTCAAAAAATAAGGAATACCCCAAAACAAACATAACATACACTGTTTTGACAGTTATTAGCAAGTAAAGTGTTATTGCAGGCTACAAAGTGTGTGCATTTGTACATAATATCAAGTTGTATTAGGCATATATGCATTTTCCCAACCACAATATACAGCACACATAAACAACAGCTATGGGAGACCCTAAACAGCATCCATAGCCAATTATAGTGATGTTTCATGAGGTTTACATCACAAAATGTCTATTTTTACTCATCAGCATGCTCACAATATGTAGCCTGAGACTTTATGTAGGTCAACACATACATTTGCACCTACACATAGCCTCACGCTGTAACAGTATGTGCTACTATATGATCATGTATCAGATTTCAACATGGGTTGGGTGCTCAGTAATAAATGCTGAGAATACCATGAAGTACAGATATAGGCCTGGCCCATTCCCAAATCTGCGTGACACTAATCTCTCTAATAGCCTGGAGCAGATCTCCAACCATAAGCGCTGCTAAACGATTAGGAGGTCAAAGGTCTCCGGGGATTTCTCTGCCAAGCTGGAAGCTGAGTCACCTGTTCTATATTGAAGTGTTTCATCTTCAGAACACACAGACCTGCAGCTCTTAGTGGTTAGAGCTTGAGTTCATTTCCTGTACATGATTTCCCCCTGGCAGTGATTTTGAACCTTCATCAAACTGACCTTTCTTTGTGGAAAGGGCGAGTAGGAGTCCTCGCCTCTGTCCGGGAAATGTTTATCATACCAAGGAGAAAACATGCATCCAAAACACAGCTGATTACACATAAGGGCATTGTCAATATGGTCTCCAATCACGGTATGATTAGATTACACCTCATTGTTACATTCCTTTGTCTTGCATCCCCAGCGATAAACTAATTCAATAACAGGAATTCCGGTTGAACCCTGCACGAACTCTTCACTCTTCACTTACCCTGCAGGATTTGAAAAAGCAAAAGTATCAGGATTTTAGTCATGAATGAGGATTTTAAGATAATTGTATCTATCAATTTTCATTTAAAAATCTGTGTGTCAGCTGTAGAATGCTTATCATGCATCTATTTTAACATATCTTCCTTGACAGATATTATAAATCAAGGAGACCTAAAACATATCATCAGAAATTGGTGTACTGTAAGCTATTTTCTGTCGGGAATAAATAGGAAATCAGCAGAATTAAACCTTGCATGGAGTTGAAATCGATACAAATTAAGATTACTGTATATATCACAATAAGCAAAATTACGTCTGAATTAAAATATATTTTTTATTAAACTTAAACATAATTTTTGAAAGTATAACACCAATGCCTATAATCATATGACAGTGAGTCAAACATTGCATCTCATTATTTATTATTATACTTATAATTATATTGAAATGCCTGCAGGATAAAGGAGTACTTGTGGATGTAGTTCCAATAAAGTGTACTGCACAATATTTTAAGCTTTTTTAATACTTAGAGAAAGTACACTGCCCTCTCTCTGTTAATCTGTCCACCTTCATTTGTTTAGCAGCGTGTGTACACTGGCAGCGTGTGAGGATGACACTGTGGTAATCATGCAACCTAAATAACAGGAGCTTACATCTTATAGCACGGCACGCTGATAGCTAAGCACACACGCTTCTCTCTTCCTGAGCCTTGTTGAGCCTCCACGCAGTGTTGGACTGTCGTCATACAGCTGCAGTGATGCAGGTACACATATACATATATACATAGAAGGAGAGTTTCCTGATGTTGAAGTGATTTCTTATTCAGCACTTAAAATGGCTGATTGTGAGAGAGATGAGAAGCTATTCGGTTTCAAAAGCTTTCCACTTGAATATAAAGTGGAAGTAAATACTGAGTTCTAGCATTTAAAGAAGAAAAAAAGAACATTAAGCTAAGTGCAGTTGACCCCAAGCATAAGTAACATCTTTATTCAACATATATATATATATATATATATATATATATATATGCAAGAAACCTCTCCATATGTGGTGGAATAAAAACATCGTATTCACATTTCTGTCCAGTTTGTATCAAAGGAAATTGTTACAACCTCAATACCAATTAAAGCCAATGCACATACTGTAACTGTCCAATGTAAATGACGTTCTGTAATGTAGAATAAGGTGTTCATAATGAATACATCAATGCATATGTCTGTGTTAGTTCATTTTATGGCAATACATATGTGTACGTGTGGGGGAAAATGAGCAAGGAGGAACAAAAGAAGGGCTTAAAAACACAAAAGGAAGATTAATACTACAGTATTAAGGATTTGTGGCTTTAAAACTTAAGTCCTTACATGCACTAGTTCTTAGACTGTGGGCATAAAAGGGGCCAGTATACTCAGTCAGAAGAATATGTTTGAAAACCCTCACCATTTACCGACATCTGACTATGTGTTCTGTATCTGGCTACTTCTGTAACCTCCCAAAAACGTTCTTCATTCTTAGTTTGAATGATTTCAAGCGTGAAGGATCCACTTCCTTCCAGAGGAGACAGTTGTAAAATGTGCACCATCATCCCCATTTAAAGACATCTTTAAATCAGATCAAGTATAAACACTTTGGGCAACATGTCAGCTACTTCTTTATGAAATGATGCATTCGCTTCCTTAATTAAGTGAGCTTTGTAAGATGTTAAGAAGCGGAACCTCAGTTAGTATTCAGACTTAGGGATGACTTGCATTCCGCTCATGGAAAAGGCTGGTTGGGTTGTGCGTCTCTCTGTCTTCCTTTGAGTGGGGAAGACCTCCACTTCTGGCCCTGGAGATTTACCGCACAGCTAATCCCATTACTCAACTATCAGATGCCAAATCCCCTCTAATGGCATTACACGTGCCAGAATTACGTATGATGATGCTTGCTAATGAGAGCTCAGCAGATATACCTTACTGGAACCAGTGGCCCTTGTGCACAGAGTAGCCCCGTGGCTTTGCAGCTTAATGGACTCAGTATTGAGTGTCGAGGGAAGTCAAATTTATCGACAAAGTGCTTTTAACAAAAAGCAGGTTGCTTGCAAAGTGCATCGCAGAGCAACAAAGGATGTAAATACATCTAAAACGACGCGCATGGTGAATGGTTGAAGGTAGAGAGCGTGTGTGTGTTTGCAACATGTGAATGTGTGTGTGATGAAGAGAGCTGCAGGACAACCCCAAGGACAAGTGGACACTTAAAGATGAATGAATGATGAATGGTGGGATGAAGTTTCCCATACAAAGCTCACATCGGGCTGTCACGTCCTTCGCTTATGCAGAAGGTCATTTCAAAGGTGAAATGTGCACAAAGACAAAAAAGCCTTTTGAAATCTACTCTCAGTGTTTTCTTTGATTCTACGTCACAGGAGCAGAGGGTTCAACACTCATACATTCTCATTTGTGTGACTTCCTGTGGTCATACCTTGATGCTGAGCAGTATTTCCTGCTACTTTATACTTATATTTCCCTACAGTACATGCAGAGGCAATTATTGTACTTTCTAAGATCGTTTCTTTATGGAGCTACTTAGGTCACGGGTGCAGAGGCACGTTGAAACAGGAAAAGGCCTTTTTTCAAGCTGTTGGCACAAAGTTGGAAGCACACTGTTGCACAGAAGTCTGTACATGATTTTGTTCGTAGAGCACGCACACTTTAATGATCGCCTGAAATATGTCACTACCACAAGTTGTTGTTTATGATACTTAAAAGACCACTGAGTTGTTTTGCAAGAAATGTGCAGCATGAATAGCATCACAGTCAAATTAAAGAGGCAGTGATTTCCTTTAGTCCAATCAGCTTCCCGATCCTTTCTGGGATTGTTCAGCATCACTCTATAAGATGTCTGCTCCACTGAGAGTGAACATGACATCGGAAGCCCCTAATTTGAATCTGTGGATGATAAAAAATGGAATGAGCAGGTTGTTCATGGGCCTGGCAGCGAGGCCGGTGTCGGCTCTCCAGCTGAAATCAAAGCTTCTCTTTTTGCTCTTAAAGCGCCCCGGAAAATGATTTATACGCCTGCTTTGGGCTTGTCGCGATGCCACTCAGAGCGATTTATCT